CAATATCTCATTGTGATTTTAATCTGCAATTCTCTAATAATGGGTGATGTTGAGCAGTTTTTCTATACCTTTTGGCCATTTGTAAGTTTTCTTTTGAGAAAAGTCTACTAAGGTCCTTTCACATTAATGAGCCAATGAACAAGGATGGAGAATCAAGCAACACTCTTCTCACTCAGAAAGTTTGGATCCTGTGTTTGGGGTTTTATATTTATTTAAGAGAAAAATAACACAAAAATTGGCTTTAAGTATAATATTATTATAATAACCTTTGCTCTCTTTTTTTTATTTGTTCTGATACACCTGTAGATAATGAGTTAGAGATAGAAAAGGTAGTTTTCACTTGTCCACCAAAGGCTTCCTCTTTCATGTTAATAGAATTGTAGCTAGCATGTGGCTGACCATCCACGAATGGCCTTTATCAGTATGTCTTGCCCTTACGTGTGGCCATGTGACTAAGTAAGCATGAATGGACAGTCAATGGAAATGGTGTGTGTCACTTCCAGTAGGCCATGAGAAACTTTAATTTTATAGTCCTTCACACTCTTTTCTCCTTCCTAATGTTTGGAATGATGATGATCAGAGCAACTTTGGAAGCCTAATTTTGAAGAGAGAAAAGACATTTTCAACCCGAATTCCTAAATGGCTGAATATGGCAGAATGACTTCCAGTGGAAACCTCATGAATAGTAAATGAGTGAAAGTGACGAAGCCATCTTGAGGCCTTGCTCCTAAAACTTGCATGCACACTCTTGCTTAATCTTTCCCTATCCCCCATGATATATTAATGGTGATTAGAGCACCCTTGGAAGCTAAATGCTAAAAAGTGCACAGCAACCACCAATTTTGGTCTATGGATTAATTATTGCATGCAGTGGAGTTATTTACTCTGGGAACATCAAAGCTACTTGGAAAATCTAAGCCATTTACTTACTTACCTAGAGAATTTCTTTATTGTAGTAATTTAATCTTCTACCATTACTAATAAGGATGCTGTTGTAATATTTAAGGAAAAAGCTGATAATGTCTTGCACAAGGTGAAGATGGTGGTGGAGATTTGAGTCTCCCTTTAAATCTACTGAGAGCACAGATGTTGGAGCTATTTAATGAGGTGGGAAATATTGGAGGAGGAGGCAGAACTTCCAGAATGCAGAATACAAGGCTCCTCACAGCCTCTCTCCAGGAAAACGATAATTTAACTGCTGAAAATTACCAAAAACAAAAAAATATGTGAGCCTTGGGAGATTATCATAAGAACATACAATGAACAGAGAAACAATCATTTAAGAAGGTCTAACTACTTCTCATGGAGAAAAGCCAGAATGTTTGGCATCTCAGCCATGATCACTCCTTTAACATCTCTCCACCTGTTCTGTGCTAGAAAAGCTCTACCTCAGGCATTCCTCTCCAGCAAGGTGCAACCGTGAAGACGGGGCTCCCTGCCTTCCCATCTCCCAGTCTGGAGCTACAGTTTTATCCTGGGAGTCAGGCCAACAACATTTCTCTTGCTTCTCACCTTCAGCTCTGTGTTGCAGAAGCTTTATTCCAGGCAAGTGTAGTAGAGGACTAAGTCCCCCTTTCCCCACTCAGTCCCCACTTACAAGATGGAAGTCCTCCAGGTGTGACAGGCTGAGAACACTGGGTCCATATTTGCCCCTGCCCCAGCTTGCTTAGGTCCCATGCCAGAAGGGGAAAGCCAAGAAAACTAGGGGAAAGCCACCACCTCAGGGCACATTCAGAGTAGGAATGTCACTCCAAGAAGAGCATGCCTCCTCCCCCTAGCTCCAATGCAGTGACTCAAGAGCTATGCCCCAGTGGGAAGGGCAGGCCATAGGGACTTAGGACTCTGGAGCTCTGCCCGAGGGAATCACTTTATTTTAGAGCACAGCAAAGAGACTCCATGCATAAAGGAACTGCCAAACAATTAACATCTTGGTAGGTAGCAATTGAGAAGAACCTGGTTGCTCCATGATACTAGCAAAACAACAGAGCAGCCAAAAGTTCAAGAAAGCCAGGGAAAGAGACAACCAAGAAGAACCCTTTGGGGAATGCAGTCAACTCTGGGAGTTGGGAAAATTTTGCAC